ACCAATAACAGACTTAAAGAGAGCCAAATCAGGAATGAACTGGCATTAACACTTGAGACAAAGAGAATAAAATACCTAGGAATACAACTAACAAAGGATGTAAAGGACCTCTTCAAGGAGAACTACAAACCACTGCTCAAGGAAATAAGAGAGAACACAAACAGATGAAAAAACTTTCCATGCTTACGGTTAGGAAGAATGAATATTGTGAAAATGGCCATACTGCCCAAAGTAATTTATAGATTCAACGCTATCCCCATCAATAAATGTTTAAAAAACGGTGTTGGGAAAACTGGCTAGCCCTGTGCAGAAAGCAGAAAGTGGACCCCTTCCTGACACCTTACACTAAAATTAACTCCAGATGGATTAAAGACTTAAACATAAGACCTAACACCATAAAAACCCTAGAAGAAAATCTAGGCAAAACCATTCAGGACATGGGTGTAGGCAAGGACTTCATGACCAAAACACCAAAAGCATTGACAACAAAAGCCAAAATAGACAAATGGGACCTAATCAAATTCCACAGCTTCTGCACAGCAAAAGAAACAATCATTAGAGTGAATCGGCAACCAACAGAATGGGAAAAGATTTTTGCAATCTACCCATCTGACAAAGGGCTAATATCCAGAATTTACAAAGAACTAAAACAGATTTACAAGAAAAAAACTGACAAGCCCATTCAAAAGTGGGCAAAGGATATGAACAGATACTTTACAAAAGAAGACATACATGAGGCCAACAAACATATGAAAAAATGCTCATCATCACTGGTCATCAGAGCAATGCAAATCAAAACAACATTGAGATACCATCTCACGCCAGTTAGAATGGCAATCATTAAAAAATCTGGAGACAACAGATGCTGGAGAGGATGTGGAGAAATAGGAACACTTTTACACTGTTGGTGGGAGTGTCAATTAGTTCAACCATTGTGGAAGACATTGTGGCAATTCCTCAAGAACCTAGAAACAGAAATTCCATTTGACCCAGCAATCCCATTACTGGGTATATATCTAAAGGATTTTTCTTTATAAATTACCCAGCCTCAGGCACTTCTTTATAGCGATGCAAGAATGAACTAATACAATATGGTAAGAGCATGTTTAGCTGTGCAAGAGGTCTTCCAAAGCAGCTGTTCCATTTTTGCATTTCTACCAAATAAATGAGAGTTTGTTACTTCACATCCTCACCAGCATTTAATGTTGTTAGTAATCTGCATTTGGGCCATTCTAGTAGGCGTTTAGTGATTGATATTGTTATGACCTATTGCTTTTAAACTAAATTTATTTTGTGATACAGTTTCACATGTCTTATAGTTGTAAAAAATAATGCAGACAGATCTAGTTAAGTGTACTCTTTCCCCATTTCATCCAAATGGTAGTATTTAGAGTACAATATAACAGCCAAAATATAGATATTGGTACAAGATACAGAACATCACCATCATCATAAAAATGATGTTGCCGCTTTCTTGCTACACCACTTCCCCACTTCCTGTCTAACCACTGGTAATCACTATTCTGTTCTCCATTTCCATAATTTTGTCATTTCAAGAATGCCACATGAATTGCATCATATAGTACATAATCTTTTGGGATTGATTTTTTTTTCCACTTAGCTTAATTCTCTGGAGATTTATCAAGGTTTTTGCATGTATCAATTCATTCCTTGTTACTGCTGAGTGGTACTCTGTAGTTTAACCATTTACCTGTTTAAGAATGTATGGGTTGTTTCTGTATCTTGGCTATTAGAAAAGAAAAGCTGCATAAACACCGATTTACAGGTGTTTGTGTGAACATAAGTTTTCGTTTCTCTGGGATAAATGCCCAGGAGTGCCATTGTTGTGTTGTATGGCAGTTGCATATTCAGTTTTATAAGAAACTGCCCACTCTTTTCCAGAGTGGCTGTACCATTTAACATAATCACCAGCAATGTATGAGTTTCTGTGAAACCTCACCAGTATTTGGTGTTATCACTATCATTTAACATGTATTTATTTTCAGGTGTACAATTCAATGGTTTTTAGTGTATTCACAAAGTTGCATGACCATCATATCGAATTCCAGAACATTTCATCACCTCTCCAAACAACTCTTTAGCCATTAGCAATTACTCCCCTTTCCTTTGTCTTCCAGCCTCTGGCAACGACTGGTAATAATGTTCTGTCTCTATGGATTTACCTTTTCCAGACATTTAATGTAATGCAATCATACAATATGTATTCTTTTATGACTGGCTTCTTTCACTTAGCATAATATTTTCAAAGTTCATCTGTAGTGTAGCATATGTCTACTATTTATGTAGATATGATTACTTTTTATGACTAATATTTCATTGAATAGATATTCATTTTGTATATGAATTCATCAGTTGATGGGCATTTGAGTTGTTCGCACTTTTTGGCTATTAGGAATAATGTGGCTGTGAACATTTATGAACACATTTTGTGTGGACACGTATTTTATATCAAGATGTGGAAATTCTGGGTCATATGGTAACGTTCTGTGTAACTTTTTCAGGAACTACCCAACTGTTTTCCAAAGGGGCTGAATCACTTCACATTCCTACTAGCAATGTATGATGGGTTCAGTTTTCCACGTCCTCCCTGATATTTGTCATCTTCTGTCTTTTTTATTACTGTCTATCATAGGACAGACAGCCCAGCTGTAAGGGCTTTAGACAGCCAATACCCTGGTGACATCATAAAAGACAACCTGGGCCTGGAGAGTTAAGACCTGAGGGCTGAATCCTGGCTTGGTCGGTCTTGTGCTACAAGCATTTAAGCAGAGCGTGGAGGCTTTGGGGCAGAACGAAAGGAGACACTGGACTTGAATTTGAAGTCTCTGTCTCCAACTTGCTGAATACATTTAGTTAAGTTACTTAACTGGATCTGTGACTATTTCTTCTCTGCAAAATGTCCTGGCCCACCAGGCTGTCAGAGAGACCAAAGGAAGTAGTGATGGTGGGAAATATTTGGAAAGCAGTAAAGATCTGCATAAATGCAAGGTGGAAAAGTCACTGCTATCGTGGTGTGAATGCAGTCACAGCACGCCATTCTCTGACCAATCCCCACAGTCCATCTCACTGGGGCCCCGTCATTTCAGAACCTAAAGAGAAGCAAGCCTGGGCCAGTCACCCCTGGATAAGAAGAAGAGACTGAGGCTTAGGGAGGAGGAGAGACGGCTGTGGGAAGCTCTAATCCACAGCCAGAGCTGATCGACCTGATTCAACTCATAGAGGCCCAGGGCCCTAGTCAGAGCAAGGCGGAGGCCCTGGGACCACCATGAGACCTCACAAGCCCATAAACCCTTTCCTTTGCCTCCCAGCACTGTGAGTGGCTCCGGTGGGTGACTCAGCAGTTTAAGACCATTGCAGGAGAAGATGGGGAGATCAGCCTGCAAGAATTCAAAACAGCTTTGTGTGTGAAAGAGGCAGGTGTTGGCCCACGGTGGAAGCCCTGCATTGATGGTTATGTGCCCTGGTTCTCAGGGCATAGCCCTTACAAGGAGGGAAAGGGAGCTCCCTGGGGTGCCCGAGGTCTCCACCTTGTAGCAGAGCTGGTGAGCTGTTTCTAGCACGCTCCCATTCCTCTTAGTAGCTATGGCCTCCTGGGGTCTTCGAAAAAACACATGAAGTTGTAAATCAGTAGCTTGTCAAATCTTAAGCAATATGATTAACCCCCATTACCACTAGGTTTATGGGCAGAGCTGATGCTCTGACTTAGGCTTCCTTCGGAGATAAGCTTGTTAATGGTCTACACCTGTTAACACGCTGTCTGCTGTGACACACGGTTCCCAGTCCTCTGGGCCCCACAGCGACCCTGCCCACCCCACACAGCCTGCATGCCCTGACCCACAGAGGAGACATCAGCGGAGACGAGAGGACTGGAACCTGAAACGCCAGCCTCTCCCAGCTGTCCTCGGGACTGGCATCGAATGCTGTCCTAGTCCTTGACAGACACTAGCTAATAAGCATCTGAATGTCCTGCTTGAATCGGAAGGACCCTCCCCTGCTGCTCCTGGGGATACTGCTCAGAACCCTAACTCCACGCCTCCTCTCACAACAAACATGGGGAAGGAAAAAAATCCCATTCTCCCTAATGAGATTGTCCCATCCAAATGGGAGGCTATAAAACATCTTAAGACAAAGAGCATTCGGGAGGGTAGAGTGGTAAAGGTACTACCCAGGGATCCTGGAGACGAAGAAGAAAGCCCAGGGAGGGTTATCAGTCTACGGCGGACTTCAGCCTATACCTCATACTAGTGAGCCCCTCATGGTTTTATTAAGTCAGACACTATAGCCCCACAGGGTCCTTCCCTTGCCGTGAGGGGAGCCTCCCAGGACACAGCATCTCTAGGACACTCATCCAATCCTGTCTTCTTAATTTCTGTGCTCCCAGTGTCTAACACCAGGCCTGGCAGGTAAAGGCTACACAGCGCAAGACTGCTCAGTGAATGAATGAATGAATTGGTGATTAAGAACAAGACTGAAGTATAAAACATAGGCAGCCTTACAAACAAACTAAAGAAAGGGCTTGGACCTTCCAGTGGAATCTGTAAGTCCTTCCCAGATTCACTCATCCCTTGGGCTCGCCCCAAGTGGAGTGATACAGGGCTGGAAGGAGCCCACAGGAGGACCCCCTGTCTGACCCTTTCCCATGTTGGTTAAGGAACCACCCAGAGGCCTGGACTGCAAGGCTGATGGGGGTGATTGTATGTAGGGGGCAGACAGCCCATGCAAATTACAAAGCCCAGTGTCAGAAGGGGGCCTGAAGCCCAAACCAAGCCCATGCTCACTGCAGGGATCAGAGCAGGTCTTCCACTGAGCAGATCACAATGGGTGTTCAGGCACCTGAGTCCTGCCTGAATACTGCCACCCCGTGGTGCACCCCCTTGCCACCCCTTGCTACCTTCCCACACACAGGAAGACAGTGAACAAATTCGAAGCCCAGGCCCTGCGGCCACAGTTGTGCCTGTCTTCCACCCTCCTCGCCGACTGTCCTTCTTTGCAGAGAGATTCTTTGCCCTATTTTACTCCGATGGAAGTGGCACCATCACCCTCCAGGAGCTGCAGGACGCACTGACCCTGCTCATCTGCAGCAGCCCCATGGACAAACTCAAATTCCTCTTCCAGGTGTATGACATCGATGGTAAGGGCTCTTCCTGGGTGTGGGCTGGGGTGGGGAGAGCAGTGGGGGGCCTCAGTGAGAACCGGCCATTTCACCTCGTTAGGCCTGGAGGTGCCACCCGGGCCTGCCATGCCCAGCCTGGGACTGGTTTCTCCAGGTGAGGCTGACACTTCATTCCCTCACATCTCTTCCCCCATCCCTGTCCCTCTGTCTGATCCCTGCCCGCTTTCTGGGGCAGCGGGAGAAAAGGGGGACTCTGGCACAGGAGACAAATGCCTTCTATTCAACTTACCAGAGGCCAGAACCTTCTTTTGTTCTTTTTTATGTTTGAAAAAAAAAAAAATCTCTCTTGCTTTTTCCTTTTCATCATAATATAAGCTCACTATGAACATTTTAGACAGTACAGAGTGGTATAAAGAACACAAAAATCCCCCATAACATTTTGCTATGTCGCCTTCTAACTGGTTGCACATACACACTCCACTCAGCTTTTTTCTTTTTAACAAAATGGGATTATATTATATGTACTGCGATTTTTCACTTTTAAAACGTCAACATTTTGAAATGTAAAAATATATTGCTTTACAGTATCATCTTTATTGTGGTAAAATATAAAAATTGCCATCTTTTTTTTTTTTTTTCTTTTTTTGAGACTGAGTCTTGTTCTGTAGCCCTTAGGCTGGAGTGCAATGGCGCAATCTCTGCTCACTGCAACCTCCGCCTCCTGGGTTCCAGCGATTCTCCTGCCTCAGCCTCCTGAGTAGCTGGTATTACAGGAGTGTGCCACCAGGCCTGGCTAATTTTTATTTTTAGTAGAGATGGGGTTTTGCTGTGTTGGCCTGGCTGGTCTCAAACTCCTAACTTGAGGTGATCCACCCACCTCAGCCTCCCAAAGTGCTGGAATTACAGGTGTGAGCCACCGCACCCAGCCAAACTGTGCCATCTTAACCATTTTTAAGCATACAGTTCAATGGCATTAAACACATTCACATTCCTGTGCAACATCACCACCCTCTATCTGCAGAAGCTTTTCGTCCTTCCACTGAAACTCTGTGCCCACTGAACACTGATCCCCCATTCCTCCTCCCCTAGTCCCTGGCCACCACCATTCTATGAATACTTTCTCTCTCTAAGAATCTGATTTCTCGAGGCACCTCATCTAAGTGGGATTATACAATATTTGTCATTTTGTATATGGCTTATGTAACTTGAGTGTCTTCAAGCTTCATCTGTGTCATAGCAAGTGACAGAATTTTATGCCTTTTTAAGGCTGTATAATATTCCATTGTGGGTATGTGCCATATTTTGTTTATCCACTCACCAATTAGTGGACATTTGAGCTGTTTCTACCTTTTAACTATTGTGATCAATGCTGCTATGAACATTGGTGCACAAATATCTGAGTCCCTGCTTTCAGTTCTTCTGGGTATATATCAAGAAGGTGAATGCTGGATGACATGGTAATTCTATTTTAATTTTCTGAGGAACTGCCATACTGTTTTCCACAGTGGCTGCATTATTTTACATTCCTACCAGTAATGTGCTCCAAGTTCTCCACATTCTTGCTAACACTTGTTATTTTCTGCCTTTTTTTTTTTTTTTTTTTTTGAGATGGAATCTTGTTCTGTCACCCAGGCTGGAGTGCAGTGGTACAATCTTGGCTCATCACAGCCTCCGCCTCCCAGGTTCAAGCAACTCTCCTGCCTCAGCCTCCTAAGTAGCTGGGACTACAGGTGCCCACCACCACGTCCAGCTAATTTTTATATTTTTAGTAGAGATGGGGTTTCACCATGTTAGCTGGGCTGGTCCCAAATTCCTGACCTCAGGTGATCTGCCTGCCTTGGACCCCCAAAGTGCTGGGATCACAGATGTGAGCCACTGTGCCCAGCTTTATATTCTGCTTTTTGATGCTAGCCATCCTAATGGATGTGAAGTGGTGACTCACTGTACTTACGGTGCCATTTTTAGTGGCTGCATTATACTCCACTGCGTGTGTCATACAGCACAGACTCTAAGGACAAGTTACCTAAGTTCAAATCTCAGTGCCATCACTTATGTGAACTTAGGCAAGTTGCTTAACTTCTCTGTACCTCAATTTATTTATCAAATGGGAGTTATGATAATAATTGTTCATACTCATAGGGTTGAAATGAAGGTTAAATTAGTTAACTTATGAGCAATGGGAGCCATCACAGGGTGTTGAGCAAGGGATTCACAGGGATGGACCTGCATTCTGAAAAGTTTTTCTTCAGCAATGTTCACTTTGCTGCCCTGGTGCAGGAGGGCAGAAAACAGGTAGCTGGCTTCACCCAGCAATGGGATTTTCTGAGAGTCAGTGGAATCAAAGGTCAGAGGGACACGGAAGGGGAATGTGTGCATGAGGATTGTGAAGGAGAACCCTGGATTTGAAATTGGCCAACAGAGAGATGAAGGCAGATAGAAGAGGCCGTGAAGGGGCCAGGGAGGGACTGGTCCTCCAGATGAGTACAGAAACCTGCTGCCATCGTGGCTCTTGACTAGGAAAGCAGAACAGGAGGTGCATGGAGCTGCGACTGGGGAGTAGTATAACATACTCTAATAGATTCTGCATCGTAATGGGATTACGGACTTCAGCTTGGGCCGGAATGATGATCACAACACCAGTGAGAATTTCCATTTATATGCAACGGCCTTCTTCCAGATACTGCATGTGGTGTTTTGCAATTATCTAGTGTCCTTGAACCAGTTCTGAGAGGGAAGAATGATTCCTCTCATTTTAGAGATGAGCAAAGTGAGGTCCATGACCCCATCGGACTTAGAACCCACTACCGCAGAGTAAAGGAGAGGCAGGAGCAGGGTGCCACACTGGGTGTGTCCATATCCAAAGCAGGCCAAGAAGTCATTAATTATGGACTCTGCTGCTCAGGAAGAGTAAGATACATACAGAAAAATCTCATCTCTGTTGGTAGTTTTGGCTTCCTTATCCCATCATTTCCCACCACCCATGTTTACTTCAGGCCACACCACTGGGCTGGAATGCCCAGCTGTGGCCCTCTGAAGACAGCAGGATAAACACTGCATCTGCTCCAAGTTGAACAACAAGGCACACTCCCTCAGCACGAACCCGCATGCAGTGTACCTCTGGATAATTGAGACTCTGGGCACACAGCCCCTTACAGATTAAGTAAGCAGAAGTATTTTTCTGGGCAGTTGGTCTTGGAAGTTGAGCAGTACTTAGGAAGCTACAGACTCTGTAGACAGACGTCCACTGAAGCCAAAGATTATTCTATACCCGTGGGGAGGCATCCATCGCTGTTGAGAAAGGCAGCTGGGCACCGTGGAAGGTTTCTGAGCATGGTTTATACCCCTAAGGAGAACTGATTGGCAAAAAGCCGGAGGTGGGTAAACAGAAGAGGCCCACCGCTTCCTGCAGTGTGTGTGCATGGCAGGGGGCGTCTGCAGGTACAGAGTGGGGTGCTAGGGCAGGCCCCCACTCGGCTTCATCCCTACTCGGGACAGGCAGCGGCTCCATTGACCCCGATGAGGTGCGCACCGTGCTGCAGTCGTGCCTGCGCGAAAGCGCCCTGTCGCTGCCGGACGAGAAGCTGGACCAGCTGATGCCGGCGCTGTTGAGTGGGCAGACACCGACAGCAGCTCCGGGACGAGCTGCGGCGCCTCCCCGGAGTCATGGAGAACCTGACCATCAGGTACGGCCGGGTCTCGGGCATTGGCACCGTCTGCGAGACTCCCGGCCCAAATGTGGCAGGAACTCACGGCGGATCCGCCCCGCCCCTGCTCCTCCCCAGTTCAGCCCCTCTTGGGTGCCCCGCAGGGCAGCTGTCCTCATTGCCTTCATTTCCCGCAGTGTCTCTGCAGAATCCACTCACGGTATGAGGCACCTACTGTGTGCTGAGCACTTTTGCATATACCAGTGCATTTTATAGCAATGCTCATTCTACAAAAGGAAATTACTTCCCCTGAAGTAAGCTGCCTAGGATCACACAAATACTTAACAAAGGTAGTTATTTACGCAATCAATGTTTGAGCAGCTCCTGTGAGCCACACACTGTTCTGAATAATGCAGTGAATGAGGTCCCCCCCCTGCTGGGGCCCCATTCCAGACGGAGAGGCATGTCATTCACACCAATGAACAAACACACAAACTAGAGAAGCACAGAATTAATACGTGCTGTGGAGAAAATAAGAGTGTAAAAACAAGACCCAAGACTCCAGGCTCTGAATGGAGCCGGTTTTGTAGTTA